CACTAGTAAGTACTGCAAATTATAAATTCTACATGTATGTGAATCACATCCATTGTAAATGTTAGTACTCTAAGAGATATTAAGACAGTCATTGTTACAGTACTCTGCTGATGATGTTCTTTTTTGAATTATAGCCACCACCCCTACTACTACTGGTATTACTATTCACACTGTTAATGGAAATGGAAAAGTTACTACAATGGAGCAATGGAATAATTTTACAATAGTACAAAATAGACAACACAGGTCAGATTTAGTTATTTTTTTATATGCAGCATTTAGTAATACTATACTTTTTAAGGGAGTCTGTATAATGATTTTTTATTTTGTTTTGTTTTTTTACGGACTAAATAAAGCAAATTATCTTTTTTTGAACTGCATGTTGCAGAGCTTCATTTCCTCCAAAGATCCTCATCATCCCTCTAAGTGTTTTGATCGTGATCGTAATTGTGGTGCTGTTCATCTGGTTTATACTCAGACACAGTAAGTCTCACTGAACTTTGATTTAGATCTGTGGAAAATTTACTAGGAAATCTTTAAAATGAAATGAATATTTAGGTTATTCTGCATCATACACAGAGTTAATAACAGCAGTTTTATTTTACTAGAACAGAGCAAAGCAGAATCATCAGCCACAGCAATGGTAAGTTATACTGACTGTTTTTCCCCTTCTGGGTATTGTTTTTTTTTTTTTTCTTTCATTTTTTTTTTTATTTTCTGTTTTATTTTTTTTTTTGTTATTATTTGTTTTTTTTTTTCTTCTTTTTTTTTTTTTTTTCCCCTTCTGGGTATTGGTACATGATACTAAAAAAAATAGGAAAAGTACATCACAGGGCAAACTTTCATAATGACAGTTTACTGATGTTTTACTTGTGTTATGTTCTTCAATGCAGGTTGGAGAGGAAGTAACATACTCTGAAGTTAGAACCAAGAAAAAACGTTTACCCAAGGTAACCAACTACAGCAGTATCAAGCAATTAAATTTAAGAATTTTCATTAAACATTTCGGTCATCTGACAGTACATTAGATGTGTAAACTATTACAGATTCATTTCTAATATGTCTGAGAAAAATCAATCCTCATAGGGTAAACTGTTCTTGTGTGTTTTTATAACTTGAAAAATACAACGGCAGCTATCAGAAGAAATTAGATCATAAGTAAAAAAGCTGTATTTTGCTTCTGATAAGTAAAACCTTTATCTCTTTTAATTTTTTTGAATACTGATATTTTGTCAACAACACTGACACCCTGCACTTACAAAAGTGAGAGTGCTACAGTAGCAGAAAAGTCTGCTCCAGTCATGGAAATGTGGGAAAAATCACCTGAGGTAATCCTAACATGGTACAAATACACGTTTATCTTAGGAATACAAGTAGGCTTCTTCTTTTTTTTACTTAAAGCACAGCAGAAGTGTAAAGTGCTCAGTTTCTACTTTTCATTTTTCAGAGTTCATTTGCTGAAAGTGACATGGAACTCGTGTATAGTTCTGTTGTTGAGAAACAGCGTAATAAAAGGGTAAATATTAAAAGACCTGAAACCAACCACACACCGTTTCTCACTTCCTTTGTTTCCTTTTAATTTGGTCACATTTTTCTTTGCTTTTATTCCTAATTGTCAGATTTGTTTCTATTCCCCAACAGGCTGAAGGAAAAGAAACAGAAGTTACATACAGCACATTAGCTAATCTCTACTGAAATGCTTTGACATTCAAACATTTATGCAATCTTAACTTTCTCTGTACCTATGTTACTGGAGTCCTTGTGAGACAAATGATAATGGTAATGTGTTATCTGATGCCATCAACATGTTATGTAGCAAATATTTTCTTCATCTTTTCAAAGATTTTGTAAAAAATCTATTGAGTTGTTCAAAAATCAAAGTTGTTGTCACAGGCTCTTTGACCCTGCATTTTGTGTTCAGTTTGTTTAGTGGATTTTTTTATATTCTACTTCTTATTTAGTACTTATTGTTGGTATTATTAGTTAGGATTTGAGTTGACATTCCTTTATGTTAAGTTCATCTAGTTATCTTAAAGCTCCTAAATTGCACAGTGTTTAGTCCTGTGTTCATCAGGTCCTTCTTTGTGTCATCGCCCCTTGTGTTTTAGTCTCCCTTGTTGGTTCATGCTGTCAAGTTAGTATCATGTCTGCATCACATCATGTTTCCTTTTTATTTTTTAAAATCTTGCTTCCATGTTCTGTGTGCTCAGTTTACACTTCTCCTGTGGTGTTATTATGGTCTATTGTGTCAGCTGTTTTCTCATGTGTTTTCACTTCCCCTAAACTTCCCTATGTGTATTTTAGTCTGTGTGTGTTCTTTCAGTCTTCGTCAGATCGTCTGTGTTACCACCCATCTCGTCTTGTCAAGTTTTTTTCATGATTTTTTTGTTCTGGGCATGTTCACGTTTCTAGTTCATGTTTATTGATGTCGTAGTTCCTCTCATGCCCCAGTGCAAAATCATGTTCATAGTTGTTCATAGTCTGTTCTAGTGTTCCCAGTTTAGGATTTTTAAGTCCTAATATCACAGCACCAGCTGTATGCTATAAAATATTGTTCGAATAAAAACTGAGATAAGTACTATTATAGGTACCATTTCTGTTCTAAGTTTCTCCCAGATTTTTTAGTACGATTTTAGTGTTTCTATTCTTCCTGTCTCTCGACATATTATGGAGACAATGCATAGAATTTAATTCGCAAGAAAACCCCGGCTTTCTTGGTAGTGACTTCACACTCAGCAGAGCACTTACTTCCAACCTGTTTCAGATTTTGTACCCTTGGGGAATGTTGGTTTCCTGACCAAATATGTTCAAATTTTATTGTATTAAATCCAGCAGTGCTCACAGCTGAAGGTTTTTTTGGCGTGTGGGTTTGTCAATCACTTACATGTTATCTGTCACTCATCTCGTACAGATCAATGCGATGCTATTTAGCTCTCAGTGCGTCAGCGTGGAGCAAGATACTTTGTGAAACATGACTAAGTATTGGTCAAGAGCGCATATACCATCGTGCTTGCAACCAATTTGGTTAAGCTTTACCGAGTAACAACGTGAGAAGGAGGATAATGAGAGCACAACCAGCAAGACGAGGTGAGGCAACTGTGTGCGCAAAGATCACTTTGCCAAACATGTTTATGTGGAAACTTCATAAGGGAGGGAAACACTATGTACGAACAGAGTGAGAGTAAGCAAAGACAACACTTTTGATATCTTCCTACATTTCCTAAAAACTATCTACAAGGATAATAAACCTTATGCAAACAATGCGATATGTGTCCGGTGTCTGTAGAAGTTACCTGGTCCCCCTCGTGCGACCCTTTCTGGTTATGGAGGAATTACTGCTAATCCGGCGGAGAGTAGTGATGTAAAGCTTGATGGGCAGACAAGCATCTGTGCCATCAGAAACCTGGAATTTGAATAATGTTAAATTGGAACTGTGAATGTTTCCGAAACGTTTCCTTCCTCCCCAGAGTTTGTAATACTTGGCAAGTCTGATAAGAATAAATTACTTGAAATTACAAACAAGCTTCTATTATAAATCATGTGTGAGATCTGTCATTTACGTTCGCTAATTTGAAACCTTTGAATATTATCATTAAATGGACCTTCCCCGAATAAAAACTGAATGACATTTGAGGAAGTGCAACTCCATCCTAAATTTTGGCAAATTGTGAGATGATACATAGTCTTGTCTGTGAGGAACTATCAGATGCTAAAGCAGTTTTTGACTGTGCTTTTCAGGAAATCCTATCCTTAGCGTTTCCTTCAGTCAATAGGCCATAGTATCTGTAATAGTCAACCGAAAAGTCGCTCATCCTGACAAAAATTTCAGTTTCACTTCTCACCATTCATATGGTTTTCAGTTTCCACAAATGCTAATAATCTATTCAACCACACACACTATGTGACTATCATGCAGTGATTGGCGACACACCTTGATTTACCATACCACGTGAATGTGGGTTTTAACTCTGGGTATGCGCCGACAGGCACGATATATACAGTAGAATAACTTCTACTGTCCTGTTACTGGTTAAAGCGCTAGACGTAAACTGTGATATAATTTATGTGTTACTGTAACTTATCGTATTGCTTATGGGCGGAGAAATACATTTCTATTTATTAATCGAGCCTTCTACAGTTTCACAGTTTTTTTTTGAGTTGAACTTACTTCAAGAGGGACCTCTCCAGAATAGTGACACCCCCAATTAAGGATATGAGCCCAATAGGCATCTCTTTGAAGATCCTCTACGCTATGGCTGGGGGTTTGTAATGAGGCCCAACCAGTACTACGCTTAAAATTTATCTAATCACTGTCTCAACAAGAGGGAAGATATTAAAGCAACGTTCTGTTATAGCGTAAGGGTTACGAACCTTAAAGTGGTGTTATCCACCCTATGGTTATTAAAAAAAGAAAAAACAGAAAGACGTTCGAAGTTAAAAAGCAAAATGATAAGCTCCGAGATCGTTTAAACATGATTACTCGAAAAATTGGTTAAACTGTTATATCATGCTTATGTTGTAGACTTTTTAGGTCATAAAAAAATAACCTGCTGAATACTTTAGCGTTAAAGTTATGTACACCCTAGCCCATTCCTAGTTTTAGAGATCCATAATCCAAATTCGCTACATGAGTCGACACTCTATCTTGAAGTCAGCATTATTCCAAAGTTGGTTTCAGTCGTTTTCTTGTAACAGCTTAATGTACCACTACGTCTCTTGAGTTACCCCTTCCATCCTAACAGTCAAGCGATTACATGTACATTCCCCTAGCCCCTTAGTTAGGAGCGCGCTTCTGCTCTATGGATTATATGCGTTATGACAGGTGTATGACTTATTGAAAACTGACAACCTGAGAGAAGACTCGGTCGAAGATTTCTATACATTCTCCTTGTTCTCCGTGACTTAGTGTAGACTGCGGCCCTTATCCTAGTCGAGCATCAAACTACTGTATCAAGAGATATTTGTGTATTT